CACCCGGGCTATTGATTCAAGTCGCATTACATAAATTTCCTGGATGTGAATTTGGTCAACATCTAGAACATTTCTCGATAGAAGTCACCCGCACCTTTGGATTATAATGAGACTGCATGCTGCTATTCTCCACTAAACGTGAGCTCTTCTTGCGACGGTCGATTGTGGGCTTTCTCTGATGTTAACATGATGGTTTGGTTTCGAAAATGCCAATTCGACCATGCAGATGTTCTCTAATGTAAGTAAGCGTGCTTGATTGAAATGAAGAACCGGCTGCTCAGCGAGCTTAACTCACGCCAAGATTCCTACCTAGTACGATTTTTGCTAGGCTCTCACCGACGTCTGCACGCTCACAGCTCGCCCAAGCATGAGTGGAACCGTCTGAGCAGACCCCGTGTGTCACGGCATTCTCAGATCGTTGCGGGACGCTGGGCCCCTGGGAGCCAATAAACGCCGACCAGACCAGACCAAACAGATAAGTTGGTCCAAGGACGGGACCGCACGCGAACTCAGGGTCGTGATCGGGGGCGGCGCCAGGCGCTCTCGGCGCGGCACGGCGCCAGGAGCGCCGAAACAACCGACACCGGCCCCTACGCCGCCCTCACGGCCTGAGAGGCGGACTCGGGCGCGTCCGACCCTCCAGCGAAGGAGAGCCCCCCCCCCCTGGCGGGCCGGCCAGCGCCGCCCCTGCCGTCTCTAGGCAGCTGCTGGCCATGGTAACACGCCGGCTCGGAGTGCGTCGGTCGACAGTTGAACCAACGGCCGTCTGCGGCCCAACCGCCCGTCCGCCGTCCACAGGTGCCGGTCAGGTCAGTCCCACCCGCCTGCAGTCTCGGACGGCCGGTGCCTTCCGGCCGCAGATGCCGCCGGCCCTGTGACGGGCGTTTGGCTCCGGGCCAGCCGCCGCTGCGGCAGGGCGGGCGCCGGCAGGTGTCGGCTCCGACGCAGCGTCGGTCCAGCTACGAGCTTCACGGGCGTCGCCGTGAGACTCGCGGCGGGCAGAGAGGCTTACGTGTTCCGCTGGAGGGTTTCATGAGTGCTGGACGCATCATCCTTACATGTGGGTGTTACCAACCATCGCACGACTGGAAAAACGCGCTTGTTTTCGGGCCTGTCTTACGTGTTTGAATGCGTTACTAGCCCCGAACCCATTACATGCTTCATCCGTCGCTTGTTTCTGTGCCTACGCCAGGGGTATGCAGGATTTCGTCAAGGGAGCGGCCACGCTTTGCTGTCGTGTCTCTTGTAAGCTGGTATATCCCCCCCCCCCCGACACACACGCGAAGTCCCCGCGCTTCGGCTACTTCGGTATCAAATTCTTTCCTTCTTTTTTTTGGTGGGGGGGGGGGGGGGCTGTCTTCCTCTTCTGGGTATGGGTATGGGTATTCTCCTAAATGGGTAATTGTTCAACATGCGTTGGAAGTGCATCAGCGAAAAGATCAGTTTCATGCATCACCCAATGACTGAATCTTCCGGACGTCTGGAACATCGATATAAAACTGATTTTGACGCCCCGCGGCGCGGACAGGCTAGTACTGCCTGTCCCGTTAGTACTCGATTTGTATTGGCAGAGACGAAAGAGTTACTGCTCGGTATTTTTATCGCCCCTGTCAATATGATCCTCCCGGCCGTCTGCAACCGGCACTAAATAGCCCGAGTATTTGTCCAACAAGGGCATTGTGGTTGAGTAAGGATAGCCAAGAGTATTATAATGTATATATATATATATATATATATATATATATATCACATATTAATATGGATGTAGATATATTCCCCGTACTCCACGGTACGTGCACCGCGCGTCGCCAAACACACTCCTTGGCTGCTGGCCGGCGCCGGCTGTGAGCGCTCCCCCTGTGTACGTTCACCCCCGTCCAGATTCACCCGAGAGAACAATGTGTACGGGAGGGGAGACCGCCGGCCGGCTGCCCGGGAGTGGTCTACACAGCTCGGGACCGCCGACGTGGGTGAAGGCTGCTGGGGTTTGTGTATTGTACTGTCTAATCAGCTGTGTCGGGTCCGTGCAGTAACCAGGCTGTCACTATAGGGGACGTGAGGATGGCCCGGAGTGTACAGAAAGTTGCGCCCAGAATACCAGGAACAAACGGCAGGGCTCAGTTCATTTGAGCTGAGCTGCTCTGACGATGGGTTACTTTTGAACATGAAGTTGCCGGGCCTTGAGAGTAAATTTCCATCCAGAGGACGAGTTGTGAAAGTATCGGAGGGCGACAACTCTATGCAGTATTGTGATGACTGACGTTCGCTGAAAGGTGAATCCGTTAGATATATAATGTAAAAATGCAAACAAAAGTATCATAGGAATGCTTTTTAGCTGTTTATCGCTGCCGCTTTGTGTTGTTATCCGCCCAACTCTTTCATTGCTTTTATGTTTTTTCCTCGTTATATTAGTACGTGCCACATAACAGTTGCCAATCTGAGCTTTTTCTGCATTCCAGTGTCCGGTCAGCAGTCTGACTGCCGGAAAGGCTGAGGTGAGTCGAGGAAAAGCCTGTCAGCATGGCGTCCAAGGTTCGCGGCACCACCATCCCCCTGACGGAGGTGCGACGCTTCATCATGGACGTGATGGAGAAGGCGGGGGCGTCCGGTGGGCACGCGGGCGCGCTGGCCGACCTCCTAGTCACCGCCGACCAGCGCGGCCACTTCAGCCACGGCCTCAACCGGCTCGAGTACTACCTGACCGACATTCGCGGCGCCATCTGTGATCCAGCCGCCGAACCTGTGGTGACGCGTCAGACCGCCGCGACGGCGCTGGTCGACGGCCAAAACGGACTCGGTCCCGTCATCGGCAACTTCTGCACGGACCTGGCCATCCAGAAGGCGCGCGAGAGCGGCATCGGCTGGGTGGTGGCGCACAATTCCAACCACTACGGCATCGCCGGTTGGTACGCGCTGCGCTGCGCCGAGGCCGGGCTCGTTGGCATGAGCTTCACCAACACGTCTCCGCTGGTGGTGCCGACGCGCGCGCGCCAGCCGATGCTCGGCACCAACCCGATCGCGTGCGCGGCGCCGGGCGAGGGCGGCGACTCGTTCTGCCTGGACATGGCCACCTGCACGGTGGCTGTGGGCAAGATCGAGGTGCAGCGACGTAAGCGAGAGCCCATCCCCGAGGGCTGGGCGACAAACGCCGAGGGCCGCATTACCACCGACGCCGACGCCGCCGTCGGCCTGCTGCCGCTCGGCGGCGACGAAGCGCACAGCGGGTATAAGGGCTACGGCCTGGCGTTCATGGTCGAGCTGTTCTGCGGCCTGCTAGGCGGCGCCGCGTACGGGCCGCACGTGCGCCGCTGGGACAACCAGCGCACGCCGGCCGACCTGGGCCAGTGCTTCGTGGCGCTGGACCCGGCGGCGTTCGCGCCAGGCTTCTCCGGCCGCCTGCAGGAGCTGATGACGCAGTGTCGGGAGGCCGAGCGGGCCAACCCGGACGAGCCCGTGCTCGTGCCCGGCGATCCGGAGCGGGCGCACATGGCCCGCGTGGCCCGCGACGGCGGCGTCACATACCACGAGAACCAGCTGGCCTCCTCCGACCAGCTGGCGGCCGAGCTGGGCGTGCAGCCCATGCAGGCCGTGTGATCTGGCGGTGGGCCGGGTCGGGCCCGTCTCGGCCGACCGTATATCTGGCTCCGCTGACCGGAGCTCCGGGCCCAGACGGTGTGGCTGCCGTACCAGGGACTCAGCAGCAGCCTTCCAATATTCGGCCATTTAGGTGGCAACAATGCCAATATTTTTTATTTTGCGCCCGGATTGGGGTTTGCTGGTGGCTGCTTTCACATTGCTCAAAATCGGTCCATCAGCATCGAGCTTGGCATCGGTCAACCCAGCATCTAACCGCCTCAGGCTTGACAAATGGCCGGGGCAGGTCAGATGTCTGGGTTCGGGGTCAAAGGGCGACGGATTAAAGCCACCGAATTGCCTTCGGAGACCGTCGGAGTCAGGATTCTGGTAGCATGAATCAATATCTACGTTTTGGACACCGTACTGGATTTATGTTGCGGCGCTGCTCAGGAGCGGGGGCTGTACTCTGTGTACGCCATCTGATCCCGCGGACATCCGCCGCCGGGTCCGTTGGAGACCACGCGGCTGGGTTAGAGATAGCGGCGGTCGAAAATAGCGACGGAGGGGGAGTGCCTTGCCTTTTTGCAGATGCTCACTTTGTCCAGGAACTTGCCAATGCTTGTGTGGCTGGTTAAACATATAATGAAAATGCATTTTTGCAAACTTAACTGTTTTTATCTAGTCAATTAAGGGCTCTGATCATCTCACCTCCCTTGGCCGATGTCCGACGCCACACTGTCTTCAGAATGGTCATCAGCATCTCGAGGTCCAGGCACTTGTCCGTAACTCAACCATCTTCACATTGTTATCTCGTCTCGCGCGCTTCATTAACCCTTCCCGGAGCCTTTCAGTCTTTACGCTATCTTTCACACAAGCATGAGGGCCTTCAACATATTTATCTTAATTTGACACTCAGCGATGCAATGCGGTGTTGAAGGCCTCTAAATATGCTGTTGGCAGCTTACTTTGAATATTTTTTTACCCGCAACACAAATGCTTCTTAATGTTTCGAACGATAAGCTGACCAACGGCGCTGCAGGCGACCAAACTTGTGTGATCGGTCGAGGGAGCCCAAAATATTACTAAATGAAAGCTTTCAATGATGAGTTTTCATAGTCTTCTCCTGCACACCCACGATGGCCTTAAGCCTTTTCAAAGCGATGTTTAGAAATGCGTTGTTGGTCGCTAAAACCCTGAATTAGAAGCACGAATTATCCGTGCTATTCTAAGCCCTCTAGCCTCATGGCACATAGGACAGGCTGACATGACCATTTTCCAGCATGATAGCTCTCGTGGACAATTTTTGAGGCCGTATTTCTCCAGGCTCGGCTTCCCTCCACCATTCAGTGCCCCGCAACGAGGTCTGCAGGCAGCGTTATGCTCGGCCCATGCTTCAAATGGCACCGTTCATCATAAAACACATATCATCCGAAGCGCCATTGCTGTTAACATTTACTGCTGATACCATTTTTAGCAACGTTTGTTGGCAAAGTTTGTTGGCAACGTTCGTTGGTAACGTTTGTTGGTAACACAATTGCTGGTAACGTCCGTTGGTAGCGCCATTCTCACACAGATGTGCTTAAAACTATGATGACCTTGGTTCGGGTCCAGTACCACTGAGACAAGCTGATCAAACAAGGGTGACACGCTCACGACTCCATGCTCCAAAGCCGTCATAACAGGAGCGGTCATCACGGCACGTTCACAATTCGGAGCACCATAGTCACCATCGCCCGCCCAATTCGTAACACTGCAGTCACCATCGCCCGCCCAGTTCGGAACACCAGTCACCATCGCCCGCCCAGTTCGGAACACCAGTCACCATCGCCCGCCCAGTTCGGAACACCAGTCACCATCGCCCGCCCGGTTTCATCCATGGCCACCAGATGTATGGACAAAGCATTAACATGGCAGTCGCTTCCCAATGGTTTGAAGCAATGAGTCAGTACTTAAACTACTTTTGGTTTGCTAAAAACTGCTGTCGGTTTGTTTGGTGGTAATTCACCTGACCCATGCTGTCACCGTGATCGAACAACTTCAGAAAGCGAGCTGATTCAACTCATTCTACGCACTAAGTTGGCTGGATGTTTTCAGCTTCCCCCATACTCCTTTACCCCCTCGTTACATTTAGTTTGGTCAAGCGCCACGACGTAGGGGGTCCGAGACGCGGCAGGTGGCCCGCCTCAAACACGCAGGTTTTTGTGATGTTCTCTCGGTCCATCATTTACAAGCTAGTCATCCCGTCGGATCTTTTTTGCGGCTCTTGAATCTTGTATCCCGCGATACGTAAACTTTCAACGTACGAACGTGAAGCGCGTCTCAATGCGCTTCATGCTTACAATACGCACGCCATTGAGGCTGCGCCGGACGGAGCGCTCAAGGACCAGGCATACACTGTGCTCTACGATAACATTGCTTGAATTATGACTAATACAGAAACAATGGTGCGTTCACCAATTAGCTTTAAGTATGAACTGCACTGAAATAATGTTAAACAACCATTTTTGCTTCACAATTAAATCTCGTTGGACGTTTGTGGAAAAGTCACATATTGTCTTGTTATCTGTTCGTTCGCGCCTTCCCAGTTACGGATCATACACACGACGTTCCACAGTTGGCGTCTGCATTTGAACTGAACCACCGGAGTCCAACGGAATCGCGTCAAGGTGCACGGTGGCGCGCAAGGCACAATAACGATGTGGGGGAACTGGGTCCTAAATTGGGGACGCTATACATTTAACATGGGATATCACATGACATTTACCGCCTTAGCAAAGGTAGTCAGCGAGGCGCGCCGGTTGATGGCGGATGCGCTGCGAACGTCGGGGGAAGCCGGACGGTCACCACGATCTGCCAGTGCGGCGTTGGGACCGGGCGACAAATCTGGTCCGAGTGACGTCACGATGGTGTCGTCGCGGTTGGGAGATCTCGAAGGACCCAGCGGCGTGGTTCCGTTTTCCAGGATGTCTGCAGCTGATGTTAGCTGCGTCGTCGCGAGCTTTGACCACGGTCGAGATGGCAGCTCGGACGGCTTCATCGGCTCTTACCGTTGAGACGGGCGGCGATGGCGACACCATTCGCAGGCCAGGACCATGCTTTTCAGGTCTTGGATGATGTTCGGCCACCAGACTGACGACTTCGCCCGCTCCCTGCACGACGACAGACCTTGGTGACTGGCGTGCAGGCGCTGGAGCACGTCTCGTCGCTGGGCTCTTGGGACCACGATCCGATCCTGGAACGTGGTGAGGCCGTCACAGATCGACAGGCCTCTCCGCACTGAAAAGCACGGGACCACACTCGGCGGTACCGCTGTCGCATGACGAGGCCAGCCGTTGGTGATGAATTTCGAGACGACTCGTAGCTTCTCCTCCGGTTGCTGTCTTGAAATCCCGCAGCTTGGAGTCGGATGCAGGCCAAGATGTTTGAGCAGCGTCCACGTGTGCCGCTACTTCGCTTGCCAGGGCGTGGCTGCGACCAGAGTTGGCATCAGTCAGTGGGCTGCAGGACAGCGTGTCGGGAACCACCAGATACTTGCCTGCGACATGATGGACCTGGAAGTTGAATCTCAACAACCTCAACATCCGCAGAAGGAGTCGCTGGCAGCACAGTGGAGCTGAATGTAGCGGTTTGGTGCTCAGCAGAGGAACCAGGGGCTTGTGGCCTGTCAGCAGTGTGAAGCTGGGCAGACCCACCAGGTACCTCGTGAACTTCTCACACGCCCACACTGCAGCGAGACACTCCTTTTCGATTTGTGCGTACCTCTACTCGGTCTCGGTCAGAGTTCTTGAGCAGAATGCCACTGGCTTCAGGACGCCTGAGTGCTCTTGCTGGAGCACTGCTCCCAGGCCATAGGAGCTTGCATCAGCGGCGAACACGGTGAGCAGAGAAGCGTCATAGAACTGGAGGCTGGGCGACTTTCCCAGGAGCTCCTTGCAAGCTTCAAATGCTTGAACCTGGTGGGTTTCCCACTCCCAGGCTGCATCTGCTTTCAGCAGGTCTGACATGGGCTTTATTGTTGTGGACAAGTTTGGCATAAACCTGCCCAGGTAGGTCATCATGTCCAGGACTCTGCGCAGCTCTTCCACCTTGGTGGGTGCTGGCATGTCCTTCAGAACCCGGATCTTCTCTAGATCGGGCTTGATGCCGCTAGCTCCAGCGACATGTCCGAAGAACACCAGCTCTTCCTTTCTAAACTGGCACTTCTGGTAAATAAGTCGCAGGCCAGAACGACTCACAGTTTCCATTACTTTCTTCAGGCGGACGTCATGTTCGGCACGTGTGCGTCCATGAACGAGGATGTCGTCCACGATGACTCCAACACCGTCATGACCCTCGAGAAGCTTCCGCATCTGTCTCTGAAAGATTTCACTTGCAGAGGTGATGCCGAGCGGTACCCTCTGAAAGCAAAACCTGCCAAACGGTATAATGAAGGCGGTCAGTTTCTGGCTTTCCTCATTCAGAGGGATCTGCCAGAAACCGCTGTGAACATCCAGGCTGCTGAATACAGTTGAACCAGCTAGGCTGGGTGCGATGTCATCCAGCGTTGGCAGCGCCAGGTGCTCCCTCTTCACAGCCTTGTTCAGGCGCTGGAGTTCCACACATATCCTCGCTTGGCCGTTATTCTTTGTCACTGGCACCATTGGTGCACACCACTCTGTGGGCTTTGTCACCCTCGTTGTAACGCCTTCTACCAGCATTCGCTCCAGTTCAACTTTGACCTTGGCCATGAGCTGGAAGGGGACGTTTCGAGCTGTGAACAGGCAGAATGGTTCAGCATCATTCTTTGCTCTATCTTCACAGGTGTGGTTTTCATCAGGCCTACATCTTTGGCAGTTGTGACTTCATTCGGTCTGGCCACCAGGCCCATCCTGACAGCAACATCTCCGGCCAGGAGGTTGTTGGTCATTTGGCCTTTCACTACAACAACTTTCAATGAGCAAGTCTGGCCTTTGTGCAGGGTGGTGGCCCTGAACTCACCCACACACTGTAGTTCTCCTCCAGGGCTGGTCAGGCGAGTTTGCGGCTTGGTCAGGGTTGGTGGCTCCTTCACTGAGCCCCACACATCTTCAGTTATCACACAGCTCCAGTTGCGATCTTAATTGCTTACACAGCTCCAGTTGCGATCCCAATTGCTTTTCGCAGTCAGTTCGGGTGCTTCAGTGAAAATGTTAAATGTGAAACCAAAAATGTGAAAACAAAAAACTGACGAATGAATATAAGAGTGCTCTGAATGTACGTCAAATACAAAATGAATTTTGGGAACTAAGAATGGGTACCCCTGTTTTTACTTATATTTTTACGGACGGTTCAAAAACTACCGAGGGAGTGGGCGGTGCCTACGTCCACGAAGAAAGCTATGCTCGATTTAAACTGCCAGGAAAGTGTTCAGTGTTTGTTGCTGAAGCCGCAGCTATATCTCAGGCAATGGAATATGTGAAAAGCAAGGGTATCCCGAAATGTGTAGTATGCACTGATTCTTTGTCGGTGGTCACTACACTACAAAATTATAGTTATAACCATCCGGTGATGATAAATATTTTTGAAACCTCGCGCCGTTTACTAGAAAAAGGATTCGAGATTAAAATTATGCGGATTCCAGGTAACTGTGGTATAGTAGGAAATGAAATAGCAGATGCGCAGGTGAAGGCGGCAGTGCCGTTAAACGAAA